GTCACCGGGCGCCAATCACATGATGCACATGAGGTGCGGTTGATGGGACCACGCTGCCACAACCACAACCACGATCACGATCACGATCACGAGCACAACAACTAAAGCGTACTGGACAGACTTAATTTTCACCGAAAGAAGATAAACGAGTGGCAATGCCGAGTCATTTGGGGCGTAAGGGGGAGACAAGAGGGACGAGGGCGAAGGCTGGATGCAATCATTGAAGTATTAGCCGAGGCCAGATTGATTGCTGCTTCAGCCAATCAGAGATGAACAACGTCCGCCCGTTCCGATGGCCGACCAGGCGGACTTTTAACTGATTACGCTTGTTGGCGTGCCTTTGGTTTTGGGCCAGTCCAAAAAGGTGCTCTCGCATACCAAAGTGTTGAATACTTGAGCTGAGTGCGCAAAGGCGCGCGTCTAAACGCACGTCTTGCCTGCCCGCCATCCTGTGCGTGTGCACTTGCGGGTACACACATATGCACGCACACAGACACACACACCTCTCTGTCTGAAGCGGTGAACGGCTCGTTTCGCGCGCACGTGCGACAAGGTCGCCCATTTCAGGCGCGCTCAGGGGCGCACTAACGCATTGAGGCATGCGACTGACAGGCTGTCGTATACACGCATACACACAGGCACACAAGAGTACAGCCACACGCACGGCACGCGGACGCGCGCTTGCCCACTAGTTAGTGCAGGTACGCGCGGAAGCAGGCGGGCGCGCACATCCTGGCCATGCAGGCCAGCGCTCAGGATCGTCGAGGTTTCATTGTCGGTTAGTTTCCCACTAAGCCCGCTCGTCCGTGGTGATGTCCGGCTCGAGCCCATTTCTGCTTCGCTGCCTCGAACAACTGACACCGTCCTCTGCCTCGGCCGCCAGCCGCGGCCACGAGGACTAGCCGCCAAAGCGCGCCGTCGAAGGGCCTCGAAGCCGAGCCGAGCCGAGCCGAGATGGCCACCTCTTCACAGCTGGCCTGTCTGTGGCCGAACAGCAGCGAGCCGGACTCGCTTGTCGGCCGGTTCGCCAGCTCGTTCG